ACAGTAAGGAACAATGGATGAACTGTAAAGATCAATATTTTTTTTAAGGAAAATATTTCATATAAACTACATTAGATTTCGTATAAACACATACATAAACACACCAATGAAAACATAGTGATCAAACCATCCAAAGCGACAATAAATTGCATTAACCAGTATTTTAAAATTACATTTTTTTATTATGAAAGACTGTTATATCACGTTTTTAGAAGTTTTCATAGATCATAATAATGCCATTTCAATTAGAAATATAGCAATTTTTACTGTAATATTAATATTTTTCGTTAAATTCTTATCTATTTTATTTTATTTAATAATGCCATTTTCAAACTATGAAGCAACATAACACTTTATGTATTAGCAATTCCAAAAGTATATGCAAATTGCCTTGCTTATTTCATATTTATTCTCTTAACACTAGATAATATTCGTTGTAATTGCACCTTATATAATCACAATTACTTCAGTTAGGCAAGTTATATTTACTTATATATTTCTAAGTTGAAAATATTTCACTTTTTTTTATATAAGATAGACTATTGCTTGTTATGAAAAGACACAGAGTTTGTCCTTTTGACTTTTGTACAATATAGCAGGCATTAAATATATAAATTTTTTAAACTGTTTTGCATTACAATGGTTACAAAATACTTTTTTTCAAAATATAATGTCGAAATTGTACAGGTAATATATAAATCACTTATAAAATTTTGTTCATAAAGCAGCAAAGGCAATCAATTTTAGCTATTTTCTAACACAGCTATTTTAATCTCACTTTTAATTTGTACTTATTATATATTTCATTTATAATGGTTTTGAATATACTGTATTAAATTTTTGCACGATCACTATTACATCCATTCTATGCAGCTTTCAAATGGTTCAAAACTCGTTAAAAATAATAGATCATCGTTATAAAATTCTATTATAAATATTAATCTTACAAAACATATAAGATTTGCAAGATTTAGGCAGTACAAAAATTTGTATGTAGCATAAAATCTATTTTGTATTGCTATATCTTGTCTAATACATATCTTTATAATATTAATCACATTGTTATTAACAATTCAAAGATAATATTTCAGTTAAATAATTTTTACTTGACGTAACATATTAGGTAAAATATTATTTTTGAATTCCTAATAATACGATTAATGCTACAAAGGTATGTAATGTATTATATATATATATATATATACACATATACATATACATATATATATATATATACACCACTCGCATTTTTTATTATATCATACTTCATAAATCTCTCATGTATAAAACGACTATACAATTCCATTTTTGGGAGGTGTAAACTTTACCAAACGAGTTAACATTGATGTAATACACGGAATTTGTTTCTGTTGATGCATCGTGATATTATCAGGAGTATTTGATTCGAAATCAACAGCGACTCGCTGACAAACAAACGTGAGCAACGTTAACAAATCGTAACGAGTACCGTTTTCTCGTAATTCTAGGCACAACGCTTGTATAAACCACGAACCGCGAGTAGTATTTCTCCAAGAATAATAACCTGCGTGTATAAATAACATTTTTTTTAAATTAAATTTTATAAACACAAAATTAATTTTAAAAAAAATTTTCTTTGCGAATGTAACTCGAAAATGTTATTGTATTAAGAAATATAATTTTTTTTTTAAATCTTAAAATAAATTTTTTTCTAAACTTTTTCAGTACATAGCATTATTTTCATAAATTGTAATAAAATAAAAGTGAAATCATCCAACATTCCGAACGTTTTTATATTTATAACAATTAAATAAATCATACGTATATTTAATAGTACAAATTTAAATACAAACTTCATTTTGAATTTATATTTACCTGGTATTGTGGAATAAGCGACTAAAATGTCTGCTTGACTTGGTATACGGAATGTCGAAGTCGGTTGACCATCCGTTTCTGTACGTTCTTTCAATGTTGTTCCAGAATCTAATTTATCCCCTTGGCAAGCTTGTATAAAAAATAGTTTTGGTTTTCCAGCAAGTGTAGGACATTTATCAGCTGTAAAGTAAGACCAAATGGAATCATTCTTGTATGAAGTATCGTGAGCATAAAGCATTCCTAAATCTCCATGGCTCAGTATAGCTACTATTAAGCAGTCATGTTGAGAATGATCCATGCCAGCAACTGTAAAGAAAAAGATATAACATTGAGAAATATATTCAATATGTCTTAATTTATACATTATCATGCAGAACTCAAAGAAAAGATATTTTTCTTATGATTAGAAAATAAAATACAAAAATTACGGAAGGGTAACATCAACTAAGTACCTCTTTCTAAATTTTTCACTATATCTCTATACGTGTAATTATGAAAATCATTTACTTCGAAACCAAGACTTTTCAATGTACCGACAAGATTTTCACAATCTACATTTGTTCCACATCTTGGTCTAAGATGTGTAATAGTGAAAAATTCGTGATTAAAAATAATAGCTAATCCACGCTTTGCATGATTCATGTTGTAATGTGTGGCATAGCGGTCTGTGGGTGCCGTTTGTAAAGGGCCCATGAGAGGACTGACGCTGTTTCTGGAAAATAAAAAAAAAGGCATGCCTGATGTTTGGGTTCATTCAAAAAAATGGTAACCACTTTATGGAAAATTAACTACCAGAAACCTGTAATTGTACAATTTTCATTGTTTCAGGAATATGTCATTAAATCCTTCATTGTATTAACATATTACAATGCAAAAAAATAAAAATTGGAGTAAAATAAAATTTCTAATTAATTTCAGACATAAATATATGATAAAATTCGGAGTTTCATGCAAGTAAATAACGTGTATCAATATACAATATGGGAAACAGCAAGAATACATTAAAGTAATAGTATTAGGATACATTGTATATCTATTGTGTACATGCTCGATCCTTCAAGTCGTACCTCGAACATCCAAACGCATCTCCGACATCATTACTGTACTTTATACTATCGTTTATGACATCATTTTTTGTTGAACACATGATTCCACTTTGAAAACAGTTTCCACTGTGACAAACGTATATAGTTCTACAGAAATGATCACTAATCACAATTTACTCGTGTGAATATAATACGCACTATAGCACGCGTCGTATCTCGTCTCATGACTCATATGCCTTCAGTTATTATACACTACTACTGTGTAAGAAAACAACTAGGATTGGCTATTTCTGATAGATCCAATGTAATGATACGTGCATTGGCCGAAAATGTCGTACACAAACAAGACTGTATAACAACAGATTTGACGGTTAGGCATAACCATTGGCCAAGGACAAAATAGACCACCCGATCCGCTTATCATTTTCGTGTTACGTGCGTCATTTATTGATTCAATATAACAATAGCTGAAAATAAATTTATATAATTACAAGTAAAATATAAATAGGATATTTTATAATTCAAATACAAAATTTTATATTACATTTTTTAAACATAGGATGAAATTGCGGCAAGAATAAATTGGTGCTGCCATCTATTAAAACTGTCTGAAACTATTTACTGAGACAACCGATGTACTGCTATCTATTGAATTTTGTCTCTTTAACCTTTCAATTCTAGCTGGATTTGAGAGGCGCTCAAATCGCAGCACCATTTATAGACCAGAAACGCAATGTGTGCAACAAGGGCGGATATATATGGTTGGACAGATAAGAAGACTAATGCAAGTGATGAAACAGAAATAACGATTAGTTCTATCATTTCACCGCTACGTGGCGCTAGTATTTTAATGTCCGTAAATCGATCGAATTTTCATTAATAAAAAAAACTAAGTGAATTAATTTGTGAACTTCCATGATTGCGTTTTCAAAACTAGATCCTCAGTTTTCCAACTCCATTTAACTTATAATATGAATAAAGATTGTACGCAATAGATCGACGTAACGTTTAATTTAATACAAACCTTTGTTTAATCGAGAGAAAGGAATAATTACATTTTTACTATCTTGATCAGAAAATGACCAATACTTAAAATTTCAATAGCTATTGTCTTTTTTTTTCTCTTGAAAATTGTTAAAAAATTGTCTCTTGAAAGTTGTTGTAGGAGTGCGATGTAATAACAGAAAATATTTATTAAGATAACTTCGTTTATTTACATTCTAAATTCAAAAATTAAAATAAAGCTGTTTAAATTTAATTTTAACTTTAAACGTAGATGTATGTCGTATACTTTAAATAATTTATTCAAACATAAATAGTTCCATAATTTTCAAATATGTATATATAAAGAGGTTCGAAATTTAAATTTATGTTAAACTTCATAAAAAAGTAAAAATTCTTCGTGTATTTGTATTATATCGTCAATTATAATAAAAGAAAGTATAAAAATCTCCCTACAATCATTTAATGCCGAATTAATGCTAATTAATTTATTGAATACGTTGTATAAATACAACAATGATATTCATTTATTTCACAATTTTATTTATATTTTAGAGCGACAATATTATTTTCAAAATATATACTCCTTTTGACAAATTGAACTATAGGAAAAAGAAAATCTAAGAATGGTACAAGTGTTCGATATTTTACGACTTTTTTATTGAATGTTTCTAACCGTTATTGAGAAACAATGTGGTGTCTGTCATACATATTATAAACTGGTCTTGTATTAAAATTTTTTACACGAGTGTAACCAATGATATTCATATTTCCTTCGTAACATACTTTTTGTATTATTCTTTTTATTTTATTTTATTTTATTTTATTTTTTTTTTTTTTT